ATCTCAACTCACTGCAGCCTCATCCTCCCAGGCTCAAGGGCTCCTCCCACCTCAGCCTTCCAAGTGTCTGGGACTACAGGTGTATGCCACCATGCCCGGCTAATTTTTTTTGTATATTTTTTGTAGAGACGGGATTCCCCCCATTGTCCAGGCTAGTGTTGAACTCCTGGACTCATGTGATCTACCCAACTCGGCCTCCCAAATTGTTGGGACCACAGGGATGAGCCACTGTGCCCAGCCAAACAAAAAAATTCATACTATCTTGTTACCAGTCTTTAAAATTTAAAATATACCCCATTTTATTTTATTTTTTGAAACTTATCCTTAAAAAATTCTGTTTAAAGTCTTATTTTTCTGTTGGGTCTCATGTTCTTGGTAAAGTCTTTAGATCAAGTTTGATGTACACAAATACCATATATCTGTCTATCCTAGTACATTTGCTGAGCTCCCATCATGAACTTTGAGTCCCTGAGGATCTTGAAGTTAAGAAGATTCCTGCTCTAGAAAATATGTAAGCTGTATAAACAACAGTAACAACTAGGGAGGGCATGAAAATCTAATTTCTATAAATCAATTCAATTCAGTAGATCTCATAGCCTTATTATCTGGAGGAAAATCAGAACATACAGGCCCTAAATTTAGTCATAAACTTTAGTCTAGGTATATTTTCCAGTAATTATTCAGAAGAAAGTGGTAGTCGTGGGGACTCAGTCCCAGAAGCAGCCATCACTTGCCATTATATCAGACTCTGTTGCATTAAGCGTTCCAAAAATAGAATTCACATCTTCAAATTCACATATTCCTTCGGGTATCCCTAACAGAATTTTCCCCCAGTGGACAAACATTATGTTCTTACCTTTGACAATCATTTCAACTGTGATACAGGAATTCGATTCTAAAAATTCAGGGATAGGATCAGCTCTTTCCAGTCCCTCCTAGCTCTAAATTTTAGGAAACAATGGGTGCCGTTTTTTCCCAATGTGAAGCCACATGGGCTGGGTCCTTTTTCTCCCTCACATCACAGAAAGTAAAGTAAGCAAATAAGGGAAAAATCAGATTTTCGTTCACGAAAAGTGTTCTTTTTATTTGCCTACATGTTTAGTATTTCTGGTGCTCTTTATTCCTTTGCTTAGATCTAAGTTTCCCTCTGCTATCACTTCAGTTTGAAGAACTTGCTTTAACATTTTCTGTAGTGCAGTCTGCTAGGATGGTTTTTAAAAATGACTGCATATTCTTTTACTTTGTTTCCATTGAGACATTGGGTCTTTGTTCCTTCTTCTTGAATCTGGGTAGACTAGTAGACTTTGACCTACAGAGTACAATAAAAATGAAACTCTGTGGCTTCTGAGACTAGGTCGTAAAAGACCATGCAATTTCTGCCTTATTCACTTGAATACTTGCTCTTAGAGCCCTGAGCCATGATGTGAGAAGACCCCTATCCTGGAGAGGCTATATTCTGGGCAGCGGAGCCAGCTGAGCCCAGCCTTCTAGTCATTCCTGCCACAATGCCAGATATATGAGTGAAGGTCTCTAGATCCTCCACACTTCCTATTCACCAGGTAAATACTACTGATGACCTCCCTTGATACTAAAAGGAGTAAAAAGATCACCCAGCTGAAACCTGCCCAAATCTCTCATTCTCTTAATCATGAGATATAATAAAATCATTATTGTTCTAAGCAACTATTTTTTGAAGCCCATTTATACATCATTAGATAAGTAGAACAGAATTTGGGGTGCCATTGTAATAAAAACCTAAAACATGGGCATTGCTTTTGGGACAAGATGTAAGGAAGAACTTGAAAGAGCTTTGAGGAGACTGTTAGTAGAATCCTGACAGGCAGTGAGGAGGATGTCAATGAGGGCTTCGAGGCAAGTAAGGAAAATGTTATTGGAAGCTAGAGGAAAGGAGGCCCTTGTCATGTCATGGCAGATGGTTTAGCAAATGTGATAACACAGCAAATAGAAAATGTATTTAATGAACTGCTGTATCTGGCCTAGATTCCCAGGAAGAACTTTGAAAGTATCAACTGTTTTTTGTTTGTTTTTGAACTATGAATCATAAGGTCTGGCTAGACAAATCTACACTAAAGAAATTATTCAATTTTCAAACAGAATTTAGAAGAGTTATGTAGGAACTAGATCTGAAAATGAAACTATTTCTTGTTGTTATTTTCTCCCAGCAGAAGATGCTCAAAGTATGACAGAGCTGCAGGGCAAAGATAAAATTCTAAGGTCTTCTTAGAAAAACATTAGTTCAAGATAGAAATGAATCCAGGGATGTGATTGTAAGCCTTTTGTTAAGAGTTCAGAAACAGATAAAAGACCTTGTAAGATTCTGTTAACTTAAATTTGTGAGATGTACGAAGTTAGAAAAGAGAGTTTTATTTTTTATAAAGGGTTGCAGTTTGCAGGCTGGCCATCCTGACAGGCTAGGAAGCATAGCCTTCAGCGGAGACAGAAAGCAAGCACTTAGAGGGAGGGAAGGGTGGAACAGGGATTTATGTCAAATGGGTTAGCTAAGTATACGTAATCAACAGGTTATAGGAGGAGCTATAGATATTCACAAAGCGGGGCATGCAAGCATAGTAAGCAAAAATGCATGTTACATGCATCCCATGTTCACTTTAGGGTGGAGACTTAACATTTAAATGCATTATAGATTTGGGTCTCATATGTCAAAGGTGAAGGCACTCAGTACAGCCTTTGTAAACCAGCCAGAACCAGTCTAGGGTCAGTGGTCTCTTATCAGGAGAAAGTTACTAAAATCGGCCTCTTGTCCAATCAAAGCTACAGTTGTGGTTTGAAGAACAGAGGTGTCAGTCAGTGTCTGGTGGTTGATGAGCTGCAGTTGTTTCAGTATTGCTTACCTCAAGGCCAGTGCTTAATTAGCTGCTAGAGAAAAAGAAGAATCTGTGGCAGTTAAAACATACTTTAGTCTTTAAGTGTAGGGGTGCACGACTTAAACCTTGTTTGGCGTGGCCTTAGGTCTTGTTGATAATTTGGTATCATATTGCCACAAAGTTCAAAGTCCATTCCATTAGTCTTATGATCTCTTATTTTATCAGTTCTTAAGGGGTTAAAATACAGACTCTCAAACATCAAGGTTTCTAAGAATCTTAAGGGCATTGCCCCATAGCAGCCTCACAGGGAGCCTGAGGTAGAAAAGGGCCTATCTAGAAGATATTTATGGATGTGGCTTTTACCTAACAAAATCGATTATAAGTTGATACACAAAAGAATCCGCAAAATTTTACAAGTCATTGCGTCAGTTCACATTAAAACAAACAAAAATACACCAGAGACTATACAAAGTGAAAAATGACTTCTGGACCCTCAAACTTCTATGAGCAGGCAGCAGGCTGAGGAGGCTACTTATCTGCGAAAATTGAACAGTTCTTGCAGAAAAGAATGTCTGAGAGGGCGAAACCAAGATCCCAAAGGGAAGAGCCAAAAACCATAGAAAATCATTCTCAGAAAGCAGGATTGGGCCTAACTGCAAAATAGTAACATATGCCCAGGTAGATTTTAGAATTTCAGTGGATCGGTGATTTCCTATTTTCCTCCTTTATTTAATGGAAATATTTATTGCAGTTATTCTATTCCTGTCCCACTATTGTATGTTGGCCATGTATGGGATAGGTAATTTGTCTTGCTAGTTCACAGGTTTTCAGATCAAGAGTATCTGAACAGTATGGATGGAGCCTCATCCATACCTGGACTTGATTTATTTGTCTCACCCACTAGAGTGTACTTATTTGCAAACATCCACCTGGGATGGAAAACTCTACAAAGCCTGGTCCAGTATTGCCTATCAGCTGATTCCGAATGTTTAGCAGCTGAAGATGAACACAAGGAATTTTGCCCAAATTCTTGAAGTCAGTGAAGTTCTGAGGTTTGAAAGAGCTACATTCTTGGTTATTTCCCATTACCAGTGCAAAGAGCATCATGATAGCCACAGATTTGAGAAGATCAGCAACATCATTAAGCAGTTCAGCTGAGCTGCAGTAAATTGGCCCCTTCTTTCCAGAGCATGGAATTTATGAATTCTAACTTCACTGCATTCATTGACATCTTCACATCAAACATCTAGGTGCCCCTTGTTATGTCAGATCCCTAGATGCCTTCTGTAGCTACTCTGATTAACAGTTGTAAAACCAGGAAGCACTGAAAATCTGGAGAGTGGATGGCCCTAAGCACGGTCTCTTTATGCCTTGGATATTGCCAAATGCTCTTTCTGAAAATGCTGAATGGCCTTTTCTGGGGAGCATATATGCTTTTTAATATTCATAATATTGTGTGCTTAAAAGTGGACTTTGAGGCTGGGCGCAGTGGCTCACGACTGTTAATCCCAGCACTTTGGGAGGCCGAGGCGGGCGGATCACAAGGTCAGGAGATCAAGACTATCCTGGCTAACACTGTGAAACCCCGTCTCTACTAAAAATACAAAAAAATTACCCGGGCATGGTGGCGGGCGCCTGTAGTCCCAGCTACTCGAGAGACTGACGCAGGAGAATGGCGTGAACCCGGGAGGCGGAGCTTGCAGTGAGCCGAGATCGTGCCACTGCACTCCAGCCCGGGCGACAGAGCGAGACTCTGTCTCAAAAAAACAAAACAAAACAAAACAAAATAAAAAACTACACAAAAAACCAAATGTTATTAAAAGTATTTTTAAAAACATTTAACTGATTTTTCTATTGAGGGAAACAGCTTAATAGTGGAATGTACGACCTACCTCTTTCCTTTGTAAGACTCTAGACAGAGAGATCCATGCCTGCAATTCAAGTAAAAGAAAGCCATTTTAGAATCTGGAGTTTGTCTTCTTGTAGATAGAATAATGTTATGAACTGAATGTTTGTGTTCCCTCCACCTCCATTCATATGTTGAAATCCTCAATGTGATGGTTCTAGGAGGTGGGGTCTTTGGGAGGCTATTAGTTCGTGAGGGTGAAGCCCTCACAAATGAGATTAGTGTCCTTATAAAAGGGGCCCCAGGGCTGTGGTGGCGGCGGTGGAGGCTGAGGCGGCGGCTGAGGTGGCGACGGAAGAAACAGAAGATGGCAGATTTTTTGAAAGGACTGCCTGTCTACAACAAAATCAATGTTTGTCTATTTCACGCGGACCCCGATGCAAAACCTTGAACCGACGGCCCTCAGTCTACCTGCCCACCCGAGAATACCCGTCTGAACAGATCATCGTGACCGAAAAGGCAAACATCCTCCTGTGCTACCTGCATCAGCAATGGATAAAAAGAACGCTGCCAATAAGAGAGACCAGGAGCAAGGGGAACTGGAAGGCGAGAGTTCGGCGCCCCTCCGCAAGGTGGCGCGGATCGACAGCTCAAACATGCAGGAGGACACTACCCCACAGGCGTCTCCTGCCGGGTCTGCTCCTCGGTCGCTCGGTCGCTCACCCGCCTGCCTCCCGGCCTGCGCATTCACAGCCTGCGTCCACACCATTTCCAACCTCATAGGAGCCGACGTATTTATTTTTCTTGAGTTTTTATTTATGCTGTAACCTGTAACAAGCGTTGGTAAAGGGGACATCAGACCCAGTAGTGTGATGCTGGTAGATGCTTTTTTTAAAAAAAGCCACATTGTCCCTCCGACCCCCACCTTCCGCCTGTTCAGTTCCCCCACTCCCGCCCCCAGTTCTCCAGAGAACCAGAGCGTGCCTCTGAGGGTCTCTAGCGAGACTTCACTGTGGCCAGGCGACAGGGGCGGGCCCGGGGCGGCCGACCCACCAGGACAGCCGGGCTGCCTTCTCCAACACTGGTCCAGGCCCTTGAGACTCGGTCTTGTCCCGCGTTCCACCCGGAACTCTCCCATTCCCAGACCTCACTGAGCTTGCGCTCATGTTGCGGAGAAGTTGGCCCTTGGGATCCTTCTCTTGAGTCATTTTATCATGGACTCGTGCATGCTCCGTGTCCACCCCAATAAAAGGGTCTTTCCTACTTGGAAAAAAAAAAAAAAGACAGGCGGCAGAGAGCTCTCCTGCCCCTTTCCCACCATGTGAGGGAGGATACAGTGAGAAGTTATCAGTCTGCAGCCTGGAAGAGGGCTCACATCAAAACTTGACCATGCTGCCACTCTGATCTTGGACTCCTAGCTTCCAGAATGTTAGTGAGTATCCATAATGACTGGGCTTCAGAATCATTTGTGAAATTAAAAATAATACAGATGTGAGGGTCCTATCCCTAAAGATTCTGAAAAAGTAGATTTCAGTGGGGTCTAGAAATCTGTATTTAAAAAAAAAAACCACAAAAAAACCAAAAAACTTTTTCAGATAACTGTGTTGTTTCCCAGCTTAAAAACCACACGGAGATGGAATGTATATATTGATTAGTAAGAAAAAATAAGCCGGTATCATCCAGGACTCTTTTGGTTACAAATGTCAGAAACTCAAACAAGCTTGAGAAAAATGGGATGTATTGGTTCATATAAGTGGAAAGTTCAGAGTAGAACTGGCTAGAGTACTCCATTGGTGCTCACATAGTATCATTAGCTTCCTCTCGGTTTCTTTGCTCCTTCTTTCAGCCCTACCAACAGGTGTTTTTGTGCAGTGGGGAAGGTGGCTCCCACAGCTGTAAGCTTTCATTTTTATTGTTCATGATTCAAAAGGAAGAAAGAAGAGACCTTTCCTCTTCCAGTATTCTCATGTCAATCTGCATGAATGGTCTCTGGCCATCACCCCTTTGACCAATCACCAAGAAAAGGAAGATGGCTGTATGATTAACCAGGGGTCAAAGGGGGCCTGGTGATTATTGTTTTTACCAGAACCATATATAATTGGTTTTTCAAGTAGGGAAACTTCAGTTTGAGTTATTGTGTCAGGGGTATAGAATGTACCTGTTACAATTTGAAAAATATGTCTTCTGTATCTCAACTCCGATCTTCATAGGTGTGGTAGGCAGCCTTCTAAGATGGCTTCCAATGATCCCCACCTCTTTGTATTCATATGGTAATGTAATCCCCTCCCTTTGGGTGTGGACTGAACTTAATGACTTACTTCCAATGAATAGAAATGCAGCAAAAGTGATGGAATGTCACTTCCAAGATTGGGGTATAAAATATTATGACTTCCATCTTGTTGACACTTTTTCTCTTGCCTTTTTGGCTTGCTTGCTTTGATGAAGGAAGTTGCATGTTGGAGAGGCCCAAGTGGCAAGCAACTTCAGGCAGCCTCTGGCCAGCAGCCATCATGAGGCTTGCCAACAACCATATTGGTGAGCTTAGAAGTCCGTTCTCTGGCATCTTAACATAATGTTTTTTAATTTAAATTTTTAGTTAAAAATATTTGTTGTATGTTTAATTTTTGTGGGTACAAAGTTGGTATATATATTATGGGTTACATGAGATATTTTGATACAGGCATGCAATGCATAATAAGCACATTAGGGTAAATGGGGTATCCATCACCTCAAGTACTTATCCTTTGTGTTGCAAACAATCCAGTTACACTCTTTATTTCAAAATGTACAATTAAGTTATTTTTGACTATAGTGAAGCTATAACTTGACTATATAGGTCAATTCATTTTTTTACTAGCACATACTAGGTCTCATTCATTTTTTTAAACTATTTTTTTGTACCCATTAACCATCCCCATTTCCCTCTACCACCCACTGCCCCAACAACCATTCCCAGCCTCTGGTAACCATCCTTCTACTCCATATTTTCGTGTGTTCAATTATTTCAATTTTTAGCTCCCATAAATAATTGAGAACATATGAAGTTTGTCTTTCTGTGCCTGGCTTATTTTACTTAATATAATGATCTCTAGTTCCATCCATGTTGTTGCAAATGACAGGATCTCATTTTTTATGGCTGAATATACTCCATTGAGTATGTGTACCACATTTTCTTTATCTAGTCATCTATGGATGGATACTTAAGTTGCTTCTAAATCTTGACTGTTGTGAATAGTACTGCAACAAACATGGTAGTGCAGATATCTCTTCAGTATACTGATTTCCTTTCTTTGGGGTATATGCCTAGCTGTGGGATTTCTGGATCATGTGGTAGCTCTATTTTTAGTCTTTCTTTCTTTCTTTCTTTCTTTCTTTCTTTCTTTCTTTCTTTCTTTCTTTCTTTCTTTCTTTCTTTTTCTTCTTTCTCTCTTTCTCTCTTTCTTTCTTTCTTTCTTTCTTTCTTTCTTTCTTTCTTTCTTTCTTTCTTTCTTTCTTT